GTGTTGTCTTGTTGTTGCTAGTGTTGTCTTGTTGCTAGTGTTGTCTTGTTGTTGATAGTGTTGTTGTTGTTGCTGATGTTGTTATTGTTGTATTGTTCTTCCTGTTAATCAAATGAACTGGTTATTACCTTTGCTGTTGCTAGTGTTGTCTTGTTGCTAGTGTTGTCTTGGTGCTAGTGTTGTCTTGTTGTTGATAGTGTTGCTGTTGTTGCTGATGTTGTTATTGTCGTATTGTTCTTCCTGTGAGCCAAAGGAACTGTTGTTGTCTTAACTGTTGCTAGTGTTGTCTTGTTGTTGCTAGTGTTGTCTTGTTGTTGCTAGTGTTGTTGTTGTTGTTGTTGCTGATGTTGTTATTGTCATATTGTTCTTCCTTTGAGTCAAATGAGCTGTCTTGTTGATAGTGATGTTGTTGCTGATGCTGTTTTTGTTGTTGGTTTTTCTGTTGTAAGTTTTTGTTGCTGGTGTTTAGTTTTGTTGTTATTTCTGTTAATGCTAGTGTTGTTGTTGATATTGATGTTGTTATTATTATCATTATTATTATTATTATTATTATTACTATTATTTTAGTAAGTATTGTTCTTGCTATTGCTGTCATTGTTGCTGCTGTTGTTATTGTTGTTTATTTGAGAAAGCTATATCTCCAATTTTGTAAACATTCAAAACTAATCAAAGATTTTGTTCACAGGAAAATTTACTCCCTGCCTTGAAGAACCTTACATCTATTGCGTTATCAAGAAATCACTTTGAAGTATTCCCTGGAGGGCCACCTAAACAGTTCTCACAAGTTACGGTAAGGAAATTCTTAAATGACACCATGGAAGGATAGACTAATGAAGACTCTAGTGCACAATAAATTGATCTTGAAGTCCCAGACCTCATTGATTGGTTGTTGATTTATTTAGAGTGATTGATTTAATGGTTGTCTAGTTTGTTGGTTGACTGACTCATTGATTGAATTGATTCATTGACGGTCTTAACTTTTGCTTATTCAGAGTTTTATAATGGAGCATAACAGAGTCCAGAAGATTCCATTTGGTGTATTTAGTAAGGCTAAATACCTGGTAAGTGTAGGCAAACACTTGTTTTATTATGTGATGACCAATCATCAAGGCTTTTCTATGTTTGTTTCAGGGGAAGTTGAATATGAAAGACAATCAACTTAGCTCTCTTCCGTTAGGTAATATTCAGTAATATTTATTTTGGGTAATGGATGGTTGATTTAATCATTTAATTACTTGATAAGATGATTGATTAGTTTATTAATTGATTGATTGATTTTTCAGTTGATTGGTTCATCAATGTGATTGATTAATTGATTGATTTGATTGGTTAATTTGTTGGTTGTTTTTTTGATTAATTGATTGATTGTTTATTTGATTGATCGATTGTTTATGTTGTGTAAAGAAGATAAGTTTAACACCGTAAAAAAGTATGGGAAATAACTTACTGACGTTTCGGATGTTAAACTTATCTTCTTTACACAACTGTTTCTTTAGAAACACCGACGCAGCTCACACTAGTTTACTGCTAGTTTCCACCATTTGATTTATGTTTGTTGATTTGTAGCACATTCTTGAAGCTGATTGGTTAATTTATTGATGTGACTTATTGAAACTTTCAGACTTTGGTAGTTGGACTAATCTAGTTGAGCTCAACTTTGCCACAAATCAGCTTACAAAGCTACCAGGTTTGAACATATTAAGTTTAACATTGCTTATTTTGTTAACATGATTTATATACACAATTATAATACTTTTAGGAGCATCTGTTTTTCTTTTGAGTTAATCTTGTGAAAACCTGTGTATCAAACTTGTATAAAACCTGTATCAAACCTGTATAATACCTGTATATTTTGTTTCTGAAGCCATCAACTGGATTGTGAATCTTGTTCAAACTTGTATAAAACCTGTATGATACCTGTTTTTTTTGTTCCAGAGGACATCCAATGGCTTGTTAATCTTGAGGTTTTAATATTAAGCAATAATCTGTTAAAGGTAAAGATCCAAAACCCTTGTAATTATAGTGTTTTTTTACATAATTTTATTATCAAGTGAATTACACTCATCTTATTTTTTGTTTTACTTTCACAGAAATTGCCAAGAGGGATTGGTGCTCTTAGAAAGTTGAGGATCTTAGACTTGGAAGAGAACGCTTTAGAATCACTACCCAATGAAATAGGTAATTTAGATATTAATATATTAATGTTTAATTAATAATTGTGATCAAATTGAGCGAAATGCATTTTAAAATCATGTGACAATAGTCAAAATAATTCACAACTTTCCATATCCAGGTTCGAGGACCGCAAACAAAGTATTGAACTCAGATACCAAGTAACAGTGAGCACCAACCTTTTCTTTTGTGCTCCCAATACCTTGACACCTGACCTCAATGCTTTATTCTTAACAACTGAGCCTGAGTATGGAATATTGTGATTAAATAGAGCGGATTTCGTATGAGTGGGAAATGGACGGTACTGTACTGTGACCGTAATCGTACTGTAACCAAATTCTAGTGCCCCATTGGTTCACCAAAATTGTGCAGGCCAGGTSYGGTRACTGTGCGGTAAYCKTGCGGTAATGGTGTCCCACTCATACGAAATCTGCCCTAACTGTGTAACTTTGTTTGTTGGAATAAAAGTCCCTGGTTTTATTTTTACAGAATATCTTCGAAGTCTTGAAAGATTCGTCCTTCAGTCTAATAGTTTGATTTCACTACCTCGTTCAATAGGGTGAGGAGTGACCATCCATTCATCCACACATCTCAGTGTTCATTTTTTCATCCATTCATTCATTTGTTTCTTGATGATATAAATGATAATTGACGGTTTATGGTTAATTTTTGATTCATTTTAGATATTTGACAAATGTATCATACATGAGTGCTGGTGAGAACAAGTTAACTACTGTTCCTCAAGAAATTGGTAAATGCCATAAAAATAAAGTTAGAATTAAGTCATATCTTGCAAATAGAGTGGTTTTCATTAACCCGTGAAACACACTTTAGCATATTTATCGCTATTACACTTTAATTGGCTCTTTTGTTTTTTATTGTCTCTACGCGACTATTACGATCTATTACACTCTGATTATTACACTTTGTTTCACGGGCTTATGAAAACCACTCTAATTTTCTTTATTTTAGACAAAAAACAAATAAACTCTGTTCAACTATTTTTATTTATTGAACGTCAACATTGATTGGGACTAATGTTTTATACAGGGAACATGGAATCGCTTGAACAACTTTACCTCAATGACAACGAGAAACTAGAATCTCTTCCTTATGAATTGGTACTTTGTGGTTCGCTGCAAATTATGAGCATAGAAAACTGTCCGCTGAGTACTCTCCCAAGTCAGATTGTTGCTGGTGGACCATCTCTTGTGATACAGGTATACAATATTTTTTTATTTTACATTTTTGAAACCACTGTATTATTTGACAGCGGATTCTCTCAGATAAAGAATTTAGCAAACACTAAAGAAAGCATGAGAAAATTTTGTTAGAACAATATAGCTAACAATTTACACTTTCCCCGAGTTGAGACTAACCCTGTATTCCTTGAAGTCTTAAACCTTAGGCCTTTTGGGAAGAAAGGGTTATTCTCAACTCAAAGGGAAAAATGCAAATTTTCAAGGCTATATTTGTAATAACATTTTCTTGTGCTCTCTTATGTGTTTGGTCAGGCATTTGCGCAAGAGAATTTAAAATTAAAAAATTTAAAAAGAGAATTTGCGCAAGAGAGTGTAAAAGAGGCTAAAGGGACTTGTGTAGTATCTTTTAGTAGCTTTTTAATAATGTGTTCTTAGTTTCATTTTTGTCTAAAAATATCGATAATGTCTTTTATTTTCGTTTCAGTATTTAAGAATACAAGGACCTTATGGTGGCATGGTTGAACAAGAAGATGAAGTAAGCACGTCAGATGTCTAATAATATGGGAACAGGTGGACTTTCACATGACCAGCACATGATGTGTGCATGATTTCTTCTTAGATTGCATCTGATTGGTGAATGGAAGTCAGGTGACCATCAGCACGAAGATGAGGCTGCACAAGGAATGTCCATTAGCCTCATTTTGAAGCAAGTGTTTGGTTACCAAGCAAGATGTCAGTCACCATTATAAATATAGATAGTAAACACATAATATTAAATAATGATGGAGAATAGGTAATGTACAGAGATGCCATTTGTACTGCAAAGCATGATGGGAGTTGAAAATCCTCGAAGTTTTTCATATAATAAAATAAAATGGAGTGATAACTTAAGGCGGCTAAATACGAGATGCAAAAACCATCAACTTGGTGCGCAACATTGTTTCTGTTAAAGCTGAGTATCAAAGTTTCTCGTTTTTCATGCATCGTCAACTTGTTATGCAACAAAAATACATCGTGAAAAACGAAAAACACTGATGCTCAACTTGAACAGAAACAATGTTTCGCGCCAAGTTGAGGGTTTTTGTTTCTGGTATTTAGTCGCCTTTACCTATTGTAGAAAATAAACGTTTATATGTAAATATAATAGGCAAAAATAAGTAAAAAATCTAGGAGATAATGTAATGGTGTGTAGCTTAGTGAGACACAACATTTATGTGTGATAAACAGTTTCCTAAGCCATGTTTGCTTTTCCTTTGCAAAAATGGAGGCTGGGTCTGCAAAGAAAACATGAAAACAGCTTTTATAGGGAGAATTTTGGGGGCTATAAGAAGACTGAGGACTGCAAATCACATCATCCCTTACTGTACAATATAGCATTGCTGCACATTGCCTATTCACTTCAACAGTTAGCACTAGAAAATAGTATAAAACACAATATAGATTGTCCAGAACCACATAGTAAAATGTGGTATATTAAATTGCTATAAGTTAACTTCTAATTTTCATTCTATTTTTGTTCAAATATCAATTATACAATACCATACAAGTTCTTTCTTATGTATGCTGTCTGCATGTCAATGAAACGTTATATAACAAGGATAAAAAGAATTAAATAAGGTCATTGTTGCAATGAAAGCTTGTGGATAGTACAATCTGGAGTGTAAAAAAGAAAAAAGAGTAACATCGTAAATCAGAATAAAAGGTTTTAAAAGTGCAATACAAATATAAATGGTGGACAGTGCTATGAATGCTGTGTGTACAGTCAGTGATGCAGACAGACATGCAGAGTGACCCTGCAGGGTTTGTGCTACTCCTTGAAGTCCTTGAAAAGTCCTGGAATTGAAAACTCGTTTTCAAGGGCCCTTGAAAATGGGGAACATCACTGAAATTCCTGGAAAACTCCTTGAATTTGATAAAATTGACATGTTGCTTGTTAGCTTTTGGATTAATATGGCTATTTTTGAAAATTCACCACTTGAAATGTCTGCAAGCATCAAAAAATATCTTCAAAAATACGTTTTTGTGCTTAAAAGTACTTGAAAGTACTTTTTGTGCTTAAAAGTACTTGAAAAATCCTGTAATTTTGTAGTGAAAATGTAGCACAAACCCTGTATCCTGCATGGTCACTGTATTTAGTCTATAATTCCAATGGTTTAATGTCTTTAATGACCATCACAACTTGATTTAACTTGACTATTATTTCTTCGAAGTGAATACTCCAGTGACCAAGTCTGATGTAAAGGTTGAGAATGAGAGCACACTTTGTTAACTAGTTACTCATGTCATTACAATCTGTGCTGCTTATTTGTGAATTATTTAGAAGAAAGTCCATGTGATATACAGGCATATAACTATAATCTTTACTGTCGACAATGTAAAATACTGTAATTAGTTTAATAATAAAGTATTATTAAACGTTTTTTGTGTGAATTTAGTTTGTGATGTGAGCCATGACGTGAACTAACCAACCAAGTAAACAAACGTTTATTTTATAGTGGACACTGCACTTAATTTGTGAACAAATAGTACTATTTACTGCTAAATAGTGTTGATTAGATGGGAAACAAAGGAATCAACAAAATTAGTACTTTTTGAACAATTAAGCTTCAGATTGAAAGTGTCAACGCTAGCATCCAAAAATAAAACTTGTCACCCATCTATGCATGGTTTTAAGTGGTCTTTGTGAATATTAAGCCATTCTGTTTATCTCTGCATACGTTTTTCTTCGTTATGCTTTTTGAGGTTTTCAATCCAGGCATTTCTTCAGCATCCAAATGATGAGACACAGGGTACCCAACAAAACAAAACACAATTATGACGTCACTATGTTATAAATAACTCTGGGTGAGTCTGGGTCGAGTTATACAAAGAWGGCGGCCGCAAGTGCAACAGAGTTGGATCCGATTTTCTTAAAAGCGATAAAATTACTCCATTCTCGACATCCAGATTCCGTTGAACAGTTAAAAGCACTTAGAGATGAAGCTATTCGACAGCACAGCCAACCTGGAACAGCTACTTCGCAGGTTTTAACTTTTTTTAAATGATTTTTCGTTGTAACTTTTGAGTCTTATATATTTGGCAGCTAATTGATGTTGTTTTTATTGTACTTGATATTACAGGACAAAATCAAAGACAATAAGTCTGTAATGCAAGAAAGAAGACCGAGCGTCATTACTTCATCTTATCATCATAACATAAAGGAGCCCAGATCTCTTTCTCCAACCGTACAAATGATTGAATTGGGTTCATCAAAGATAGAGACTGTTGCAGGTAATTTCAACTCTGATGGGACAACGATAGAGACTGTTGAAGATATGGGGTGCCTGGTGGATACATTAGTCGATACACTAGAAGAATTCTCCTCAAGGTATGTATTCTAGGGTGGTTTTCGTTCCATTGTGAATATAGACTTCTGATCCTTTTACGTCACTACTTGATTTTCAATGCATTTTGGGATTAGTTCCTAGACAAAGCAAAAGAAATCCGCCATGTTCTGTCCCAAACATTCCCTACAATGCATTGCGTATATGATAAATGACGTAAAAACTTCAAAGGTCTATAATATGCCCTAAAAGGGCAGACAAAACTCTGTTCACCCTAAGCGAAACAAAAACACTGATTTCAATGATGAGGACCCAGCCCCCTTTACAAGGGAGTTCCCCTCTGTGAAACTAAACACCAAATATAGGTTCTATTTTTTTATCACAATGCTGTATAAGTACAATATATGATCGATGATGGTGAAGTTTCCATTTGATATAAAAATTTGTATATATTCACCTCTTTGCCATCTTGAAAAATTAACCAGGAATAATGAAGGTCTATTCCTGTCATCATGTTCGTAGACAATATTACATAGGTGTGCAGAGATACAGAATTTATCAACAAATGTTGAAAAGATCTCTCCATATGAAAATAACAAATTTTCAAAAGTCAGAGATACAGGTATATTTTCAATGTTAATTTAATGATGAAACCTTATTTTATTCTGTTTAGTTCTCTGCTTGAGCCTCCATTATCAAAGAAAGCAAAAGTCCAGATAAGTGTGGAGAATGTCATCAACGAGGATGTTTTGAAGTCCAGTGAAGCAATGCCTGTAGAGGATTTGACTATTGATTTAGGCATGAGATGTGCTATGTGTAATAAGTAAGTCTAAAAGTGTTTGAATCACTGTATACAATGATGTTAATGACTAGACTCCTTCCCAGGCAACTCAGCCTTCATAATGACCGCTAGGGACTAGTGACAAGGAAGGAAAAATAACAACAGAATTGGTCCCATTCTCCCTCTGTTGGCTCCCAGTAAAGAGACAGGAAGCCCATGACTCTAAGTAATATGAATTTGTTTCAGGTCTGAGAGTATGCAAATTGGCAATAAGCTGGTAGAGTGTCATGAATGCCATTCCCATTTTCATCAGGTATGTTCAGTGCTGTGACTAAATGGTAATGTAGTCATTGTCGTTTTCCTGTTCATTTTGTGACTGTACTATGTGTTCTCCATCCTACCCATCCAGAAGAGCCCATGGACAATCTTCTGCCACTCATTCTTCATTCAAGGGTTCCAGAAGATGTGTTCTGTTTTGCAGTCATGCAAAATCTACTCAACTGCTAACAGCTCCGTTACAGTAATACTCATCTAACCCTTATTGAATTATTAACATTGTTATAGAAATGCCACGAGCCAAGAATATCAGACCAAGATGCCAATGATCTACGGTTAGTGTGGTATTGTACTCAATGTAGTGTAAGAATGAGAGAAATGGCAAAACCTACAGTTCCTAAAGCTAGAAGTACAGATAGTCAATCTGGTGCAAGATCATCTTTCACTGGAACAGCTGCAAAGCCATCTAAATTACAGTCTTTCCAAAGATTTTCAAGTACAGATTCGAAGGTAATGGAATGGCTTCTTTTGATATTGGACTCCTTCTTCACTGAGCACTCTCTTCTCCCCTCAATATAGTTTCTTGTCCTTTACATTCATCTTTTGTTGCTTTGAATTTATTTTATTTTATGCTTCATCTGCTTCTTGTCTTCTTCCTGTTTCTTGTTTGACTGTCTTTTCTTCTTCGTCTTCTTCAGCTCCTCCTCCTTCTGCGCTTCATTCTTCTTCACCTTCTTGTATTCTTGTTCTTCTCCTTCTTCTTGCTCTTCTTCTTTGAAGTTCTCTTCTCGTTCTTCTTCTCATTTGAGTGTTATCATCATATACATTTTCCAGTTCTAATCTTTCTTCTTTTTCTCCTCTCTTCTCTTTCTCTTCTTAGCGCTACTTTTCTTCTCTACTTTTCGCCTTTTCCCATGCACTTCTCCACTCCTTCCCTCCCTTCGTCATATCGCTCGTTTCTTTGTAGTTATACTTTTTTTGTTCTATCTTCCAGTCTTCTTTCTCGCCTACTACATCGTCTCAGTCGTTTGCAATACCAGGTCTGGTAGCAGCTGCTGTAAGCTCTGCTGTCAACAACAAGCAACCACTGCCCGGTACAAGCTCACAGAAATCATCAATGCAGAATTCCATGAAAAGACTTCAGATGATGAAGAAGAAAGCGGCACAGAAGAATCTTAATCACCAACAAATGAAACTACTTAGACGATAAGATAATGGAATAGAATATGAATTAAAAAAAAAGGTAACCATAAATACATTAAAGTGTAAAAAACAGGAGAATGTGTAATATGGAGTCTCGTCTCTGCCTCATTTCAAAACGACGAAGGTTGTGAAAAGCAAAGGATAGGGAAGTTTCTCCAACCGCGTTTAAATACGAGCAAACAAGCGGTCGTGGTGATATAATCCTTGCAAGGCCGATTTCATCTTATGTTAAGTATCAATGCGAAGACGGAGAAAGAGGCTGAAGAAATGGAGAAAGCGGAAAGGAACTTTTCTCTTTATTATTTCTCTTCCTTTAACTGCTTCTTTCATGCTTCCTTTATCGCGATGTTGTATCCGTCTGTAAATGCTCAAACAAGCATAAGCGGAATTTATAAAATGGGTATTTATATATGATATCAAAGAGGCAAGATTTTGCTGTAACTCCGAGTTTCGTGCTACGCACTCATCAGACAGTATTTGAATCATTAAATACTGTCTGATGAGTGCGTAGCACGAAACTCGGAGTTACAGCAAAATCTTGCCTCTTTGATATCATATATATAACTAGCTCTACACTTTATGTGTATTGAGCACTCTTTAATGGGATCAGCTACTTCCTCATTCGATTAAAATGGGTATTTATGAAATATTTTTTTTGTAGCAGTGAACTCAGACCGTGCGCAAGAAAACGAGCGCTTGAAAAAATGCGCTTCTGCTCTTAACTAGAAAGTGAACCGCTAGCATTAATTTATTTATTTTGATGTATCTATATTCAATTATTATTAATTTGTTTATTTGTACGAATTTGCCCAAAAACAAAGACAGAAAACTCTGTTTTTAATGTCGGGGTTTCGTTGTACGCGCTGTCTCGACTTCATATTGCTATATATTAATACTTTATAGGCCACTTTGGTGTGATTCATTCCCAAACAATACTCTTCCAGTCCAATAAAAACCAATTGTCTGCCATATTGTTTTATTGGACTTTTTAATCGCTTTGTTGGTACTCCAATTAATAGTCACAAGACGTTCCCATGGTAACTAATTGCCATCTTGACTTTCCTGACCGCGCGCTGTTTGCTCAAACCTTTTCAAGTAAACAGAAACGAAGTTGAAAATGGACGTTGTAGTTACATCTCACCCTGTTTATGGATACCAATTTGACATTCAAAAAAGGCAAGACTTGGTTCGGACTATTCCTGACCTGGCAATCGGTCGCTCGAGCGTTTTTGACGAAATCAAAACACCGGCTTACAAGTAAGAGGTTCCATAAACCATATCCAAACTTTCCGTTTCACAATTGAAAGTATTCTATATTTTAGAAGTCGGTTTTAACCGTCCTTTTACAATTTTAAAGCATTTGTTTACTTTAAGTGTTTTTTACAACTTTTAAAGTTACATGTGTTGTTTTTGTGTAATATCTGAAAAACACTTTTGAATATTTTATTGTCTCTTTCTAAGAGACTGTAATACAGTTATTTTGTCTATTCAACTTCCCATTTCCAATAATTTTAAGTTAAAAAAATATAGTTTTTTACGTTCTACGAGATATATTTTGAGCGTGCTTCATGTCGCCGGAAGGTGCATGCTTTTTAGGGAAGACACTTTCTTTAATGCACAAAGCAGTTATGGATGTATTACAGGATTTTATCAACAAAAAGCAGCATTTTGGAAATTTGGAGGACGCTCAAAAAGAAGAAATACATGTGCTTTCTTAGTCAACAAGAAATGCAAACAAAGTGAAGTGTGTTTTTGACAATTGTTCGAAGGGATCAATTCGTGTTTACTCAACAATAGAATAATTGTTTTGTGTCAAATAAAAATCCAATTTACTTAACTTTTTTCGATTAAAAGCAATGCTGTAAACGGACCTGGAATTTTATCAAGAGATTTTTTGAAGTTGTTAATTATAAATGAAAGGATGTTTGTCATTTCGTAATTTTTGGTACTAATTCTGATAAGTGCTTGGAAACCACTCGAGTGCAAGTTAAATTTATATGTGATAGTCTTGACAGCCTGTTAACCGTTTTTCAAATAACGATTTCATTGGTCGATAGTCTAAAAACCCAATTAAGTGCCACCAGAATTTCAAGACACTGGCATTTCAAAGGTTTTTCAATTTGAATTTACAACCGTACCGTAAAGTTTTAGTCTAAGAATATTTTCGTTTCCTGGACGGAAATAAACTAGTAAATAATGAATAGAACTTAAAATAAAAAAAAACTTTTTTAAAAATTTAAGCAAAACAGGTTTACAAAAGTTTTGTTCATTAAATACACGCGCATCAAAGAATCTTTGGGATTGTTTATTTTGTTTTAAAAATGCAAGTTGAAAGGTTCATATTGAGCAGCCAAAGATAGCGAATTTTCGTATGTGAGAAAATCGCGCAAAGGCTTTTGGATATACGTGAACCTTTAACTCAATATTCTTAAACGTTATTTTTTCTTCTAGAAAGCAACATAATGTCTACAAGGACTACACGATAGGACGATCTTCACCAATTTGGAACGTCAAGAAACAATCTTCAATGCCAAACACCCGCCTGGATACATTGGCTCAGCCGAAAAAATTACACCCAAATTACCTTCCAAGCAAGAGTATAACGAATATTAGCTCGAGCGCAAAGAATGCGTCCTGCTCTGAGCGTCTGGACAATCTTTCAGAGCCAAAAAAGAGAGTTGAACTTGAACAACGCGAATGGAGAATAAAGAAGGCTTCACTAAAGGCAACGCCTTCGTCAAGAATAGAAGAACTCTCTCACCCTAGGGGACCCCCCATGGGTTTTGTGCCGGATAAGTTTGAATCTTGGAAAGTTAGCAAAGCCGCGATAGCGGCTAAACCATCTGAACGAATTGAAGAGTTGTCAAAACCATGTAAACGTGAAGTTTCCAGTAATTTACCAAAAGAGGATGCGTTTTACGTAAGCATGGCCGCCCGGAAAGCAAAATGCTCAGCCAGAATTGATGAACTAGCTCAACCAGTCCAAAGAGGATCTTAACTTGATTATTGTTGAAAATCAGTGTACTTAATTTCTATATCTTCTCTGAGTGTTGTCAATAAAGTCTATACTAAGATATGGGTTATAGAATGCCTGTTGCCATGGAGTTGGGTTAGGGTGTACAGCCCCCTTAATAATTCAAGTGAAACCTTTTTGATATACCTTTTGGGCGCGATGAGTAATGAAAACCATAGAAAACTCATTTTCGAGAAACCCAAATTTCAATCTTGCTATTTACCTTGTAGCTTTAAGGAACGCTACGAGAGAATTGCAACCGAACAACTGTTAAACTTGCATGAGGAGATTAACTCGGATAATATTAGTGAATCTGACTGTCCAAACATCTGTAGGAATTCATGGTCGGATAAAAGGCAAGAAGGAACTGCAGTAAGAGATGAAAAAGAAAGCTTTGGAGACCTTTTGTACAGCGCTTTTCGTATAGACTATGATTGCAAGAAAAGCAAAGGAGTACGGACAGGCTGGGAGACGTGTGATAGTCAGAAAGGACACGATAAGGGTTATTTGAAAGAGCACTTTTCTTGGAAGCAAGCCCCTTCGAGGAGACTATTTTCCTCTAGAAAGCACGATAAACGAAGATTACAGATAAACTTCGATAAACAGCCGATTTCCATTCATTCTGATGAACGAAAATGTGATCAGTTTGCAGAAAAGACTTCGGAAAAACAAGTTTCTGTCGAAGTGAATACAAAGGAAGAAAACGCGCGCGCAAATCAACCTTTAGGCTCTGCACCACCTCACAACATTTTGAAGTTTCGTCGATTTTACAATCCCAGAGACTTCATCGTTTATTATCGAGATAATATCACATATTACATGATACACCAGCACTTGTGTCGCTACGTGACCAATTGGCAAGCTGCGAAATCTTTCAAAAAACCAACTCAACCAACAACCCGCGAAAAAGAGACACCTCCCCTTGTCGAGAACAAAAAAACACAAATATTTCGGCTTCAAATTTCCGAAGAAAAAAAGCAGGGATTTGGAGTTTTGAGAGTAGGACCTTGCCCTCGAACGAAAGATTCTAAAACAAATGAATTTTTACAAAATTCAAAGGACGAGAAAAAACTTTACAAGAAAGACGAAATGAAACTTTACAGAGAGAAAACTCCTGAGGCTTTGGAAATCTCAATTACTGGCTCCAAGCCGCCATCTTCGGAGATGAATATTGAAATGAACAGCGCGCAAAGGAAATTGCTCAAAACGAAAATGACAAAAACGATGATTATCCCAAAAGCAAGCAACGTTGACCTTTCGAAAGCCGGTAGTTTACGCGGAAAGGATGATGAGGTTCGCGGAAATTGGAAAGACAAAGTCAAGACTGTTGAGTTGCAGATTGTGAAGGCTGCTACGGGTTCGCGTGCTAAAGGAACTGCAAAGAAAGTAAGCAGACCGAAAAATAAGGTAAATGGTTTTTGGAGAGCTTTATTACTGTACAAACTGGCATTTTAGAGTCTTCTGCTTCTGCGGCCTTGGTTTTATTAGGAAAGGAAGAGACAAGAATCTGAAATTGTCGAAAAAGGGCGAAAAAACAACTATTTTTTGACAGAGCTCTGTGATTGGTTGAAAACTGACAGTTTCATTTCTAGGAACGACATTTGATTGGGCGAAAATTGAGAAGCCAGTACAATGCTACTGCTTAATCTTCATCTCTTTCGTATTTTATTCTTGAATTTTTGCTGAAAAACGATAAAATTGTTTTTTCAAAAAATTAGTCCTACTTCCTATGCAAATTAATTGATTTGTTATGAATTGATTTTTAGATTTTCAAATTGGGCAACCTTTTTTAAACGTGTGTATACCTTTTACGATTTATTTCAGCCGACACCCCCGCCACCTACATCCAAAGCCTCTGCTAAAAAGACATCTCCTGCCCACAATGCTTGCCATCCTCACATTGTATGCGGTTCCAATATGACTGTAAGTACATATGAATCATTTCACTGTATCACCTATTAGATTAATAGAGCAACCATTTAGTCAAACTTGTGTGAGTTGCGTTAGCCACAGTTGTGATACAAGGATTAAAACTTAAGTTATATAAACTTAACTTAAACTTAATGTAGAAAACAGAAAAATTTCTGACGTTTCAGCAGTTGGTCGTTCTTCCTTTGCTCTTTTCATACCTGCGAAGGTTCAACGCCAGAAACGTCGTATGTCTGTTTTCACTAAATGTAAGCATAGCCATAGCAAAATCATAAAACGTTTCTCACTCGACATAAGAAGAAGAGCATGAAATATGATTTACATTGAGCATACCGCAAGCACACAAGAAACAAACGTTGTCATTCCTGATTTCTATCTTATGCTTATCACTATGCTTAAGCGCTGATTCGAAAAGTTTGAAAAAGATATCGATTGGTAAAGAAACACTCACTTCTTAGGGATCTTAATTCTGTGATTTCAGAGTTTTGCTTGTAGAATAAATGTCTTGAATTGCTCAACAGAAAATGATCTTTGCTGACAAGCAGTTTCTTCACATCACAACCCCAAAACCAATTGGTGTAAACCCAGCAAGTCAACGAGGCAGCTCATCCAAGCTATTTGACACCCCTAGTGATACAGTCTATCCATGGGCCGATGCTTTAAGCATCATACCACGCGGAAGACTGATTGAGGAATCTCAAATCCTTAGCCCGTATACACAGCGTTTTCCTGACAAGAGGTTTCAGGCATGCATAACCCCAAGCAGTTATCCTTCGAGCAGTATTGATGTGCAAATACAGGGAAGCTCAATCGATGATTCCCCTTCATTGGAGCATTGCAGATCTGAAGAGGATATCCACAAAATATCTTCCAGCAAAAAATCTGTTCAGAAAGTTGGGCCATTTCTTAAGTTGTAAGTAGTCTCTTTCATGGTTTAATGCATCATCTTGAAAGGTAGGCGTGTCTTTTGCCATTGAGCGTACAATGATTGACACCTGTCAATAATTGTCTGTAGGTGTTCTATCATTGCACTTTCAATGGTTGCCTTGCTTTGATGCCAAGGCACAGCTACGATTGAAGATGTCGTAGGGAAGCGTGAAGGAGACTACATTATTGACACTGACACTGTTTTAAATTTCATACCAGAGATGATAACTTAAACCACAGCATATTACTGTACAATTTTAATTATCAAAACATAGAATTTCCCCATATTATGCTATTTTATTCAAAGTTTGTTCAAAGTCCAGTTATATCCTTTGTATTCAATTTCCACTTTTTCATTTCCTTCCATTTGCTTGATCAAATGTCCCATTTTAGTTTTCATGTCAGTAGGCAAATATGTAGAAATCCATCTAAAAAGAAATATTGGTGGTAAATACATTGTTTTATAACATTTCAGCTTCGAAAATAGACTTAATAAGCTCCTAAGTGAGCCAAAAGTCAAAGGGGAACATATTTGGGAAGGGCTATAGTTGTTTCAGCTCCCCATGAACATTGTAGATGTGATTTTTTCCCCAATTTTTGTATGTTTCAATGAAAAAGCTAACTTTTTGGTCATATTGACAGCTAAATACCTGCAACACTCTTTGAAAACCCCAAAGCCCGTATCCTCAAATTTTTGACCCCCCCTACTCCACGACATCACATTCCACATATTGAAAGAACTAAGAGTGATGATTACCTCAACAAAGAAATATCATCTTCAGCAAAATCTTGTTTATACCACATAAAGATCTTAGATAGTATAACCTATTAGAAAGAAAATACAATGAGTGAAACATTCATGACTATCATACTTTCAAGTGATAAAAATAAATAGTGTTAAACGGTACCTTATTTCCTACAATTTCTACTTCTTGGGAACAAAAGTTTTTTGATGCAGCATTCAATCCATTTTCTAAGTTCTTTTCGCTGTATACATTTATTGGTGGACAAGACTACAACATATAATAAGCAAAAAAGAATAATTTTTTTATGAAAATGTAGTTGGATTTTTATCTTGATTTATTTCTTCGGTTTCACATGTCATCATTGCCTCCATGTTGGATGACAATAACAAAGCATTCTTCATTGGCCATTTTGCTTGTTCTGTCATGGCAGCAATATCTTTGTTCTATAATTCTAGGGGGATTCTTTACATGTATCATGTGGTTGAAACTCAAGATTACAGATACAGCACAATATTGCACACCTAAAGTTGGTACATGAGCTGGCTTCCTCTCCTTCCCCCTCCCCACAGAATTCTATTGATAGGGGCATACCTTGGCACCGCAAACTAATGCAAAATGTATTCTTGGATCCATTGGTTTGATTGTAAGTTCACAGCGAGGGTCTTCCTTTGTAAACAAAGGTGTTGGCGAAGATGGGTGTGGTTTATTTCCTGAGAAATATATTCTGTTGTTAACAAAATTTCTTGTACTCAAATCCTTATCAGTTTCCCAACAGAAAACAGAAAACTCCTGTTAGAGACGAATGATTCTTTGACATGATTGGATCAAAAATCCCCATGCATCATATTGTACAACCCAAATTCTGGGTTTCTGGTATTGTCTCAGAGGCTTTGATTTCACATTGGGAATCTGAGACAGATCTGGGTACGAGCAACAAGCTACAAGAAACCACTACAATTTGCCTGCTGTCTATGCAAAACTGCCTATAAGTCTTATAAATATAGTGCAAATATATAGCAAATATATAGCAAATTGTCCACAACTGACCTCTTAATATTCCATGTTCAATGTCATCCAGACTTAACGTATAACCTCCAATGTTATACGCAGTATTTCTCCAAAACTGTTTTATCTCTAACACTGAGGTAGGTAAGTGTCCATCTTTGTGTGACGACATAGCAAGGCCATGGATAGTTAATGCATTATAAACATCTGATTATTTTGAGTTAAGGGTCAGTTGACATATGCTAGATGACGTAACAGTCATGACGTCATTGAGATGGTGTTGGAGTCTCTATGGGGACTGCTGGATCCGGATACACTATCAAAAATTTGTCAGCAACATAATTCTTTCAAAAAAGTATAAACCTCTATGCACGATTTATTATAAAATTTTATAAAAGGATACTTAAAAAGAATGCCATTTTTTCTTCAACTGACAATACAGTGATCGCCGTCCCCTGCAAGTCATGTGCCAAACTCTGATACTCCTCAAACAACTTGCTATTCTTCAGCGATGCATAATCTATTCCACGGCCATCGTCGCTCATAAAGCTACCTTTGATCCTTAACATCAACTTTTGAAGGTCTTTAGACAAATCCACTCCACATCGAGAGGACTGTAATTCCGATTTATCGCCCCCATTTAGGACCCGAACTTCGCTGACAGTTTCCATTGTTGTGTGGGCTACCTGTGTCTTTTCCAACGGGAGAATGGGGCGGAATTAGTCAGCATCAAAAAAATTTCAAGATGGCGACCACGTTGGAAGATAAAGAAATTTGGGAAGATGGAGAGGTGAAATATACCTTGAAAGATTGTCTTCTTATAACTTTGAACATTTTTATTGTTGTATAAATTATTGAAGGTTGTGTTGTAATTGTTTTTGTAGGAATTGGGTGAAGATGTGCTTCGTATGTCGACTGAAGAAATTGTCAGTCGAACAAGATTGCTTGACAATGAAATCAAGGTTTGACATTGGAAGTCGAAAATGTTCTTGCAGTAATGCTTAAGAATCATGAGTACCAAACTCATTTGTTCATGTTTTAGTTCTTTTTCAAATCAATTATCAAAGCATTGAATAAATAATATGATAGAATTTATTCAACCTTGCCGGGGACTTAGCTTCCAACTTTATACTAATTTACCGGCTTTTTCTCTTTGCAAAACATGCAATTTTCTTCTACCTTTATAATATTTATGTACTGTGAATAACAAGGGATAATGTTTTTGTTTCAATTCGAAGTGAAATTAAAACGTTGACATTATGTTTGTCATTACAACATTACAATATACTCATTGTATTGCTTTGACTAAGTTTTGGAAGTCATTTTTTCTCATGGTTTATCAGATAATTATTTTTATCCCTAGATTATGAAAAGTGAAATAATGAGAATCAGCCATGAACAGCAAGCAATGAAAGAGAAGATTAAGGTAAAGATGACAATCTATTTCTTGTGAACACCTTGCATTTCACAGGAGCATGGTTCCGTCTGGATCTTCAGGAAGAAATAGTGGATTCCAGCTCTGAAAAGAGTAGTCTTACTTGCAGATTGTTCCTGGAGAATTCCTGGAAAAAAATGTATGGTGTTAATTCGCCAGGAACAGACTGAAGACGGCTACCAAGAGAGTTTAAGAGTCTTGTTTTCTCCCCCAAATGAAGCTACATGTACACCTTTGAGTCAGTATTGTTAGGTTATATATGTCTGTGATGTACAATAGAACTAGAGAATGTAACTTGTTTTATAGGAAAACTCTGAAAAGATAAAAGTCAACAAAACACTCCCATATTTGGTATCAAACGTCATAGAGGTATGTCATAAATGTGATATTTTTTCACTTCAAAGCAATAGCTGCTATTTCGTTTGAACACAGACTTACTTGGAGATCTTAACAGAGTTAGCAACAGAGAGCACAAAAAACTAGTCCAAATGCCTTGTATTTCTCAGAACACAGGGAACAAGGGAAACTGGATGTAAGGGAATTAAAAAAAACAACAACAAACAAATAAATAATGAAATATAATTGTGTTTCTTTCAGTTACTTGATGTGGATCCACAAGATTATGTAAGTACAAACATACTGAATTTACTCATGCATAAGTCACACTTCACTGACTTTGTGAAACTAATTTTGAGGGGAAAAATATAAATCATTTTGGTAAATTAAGTAGCTACTTGTGTATTCTTGCCACACTTTTTGTTACAAAAAGCATCCTAAGTTGACTGAGCTCCATCAGTTGACTACAAGTACTGTACTTTGGCTTTATTATGTATGGCATTGGTGATGAATAGCAAGCTTCAGTGCAATATAGGAGCTTTTAGAGACAGTTTTGTTAAAGTATTCCCTAGCTCACTTTATAGGTATGTTCCTTTGATTCATTCTTGGATTTTTTTCTGTTAGGCGGAGGAAGATGGAGCTAATGTCGATCTAGATTCTCAAAGAAAAGGAAAATGTGCTGTAATAAAGACATCTACAAGACAGGTAATACAAGAAAAAAAAATCTATGCCTCTATTGGTAGTCATGTAACCTAGTCCTTTTCTGACGCTGTTTGCATTGCATTGTGGTCTTGATTCAGTATCAAACATTTTTGTTTATGCTGCCAAATATGGTGTTGTTTGTAGTGAGAATAGACCACAATGCATCATGATTTTGTTGTTCACAAAAAGTCTATGTAATCACATCAGTCATACAGTCAGTCACATAATCAAGCAATCACAGTCAAGATTAAAATTATAATTACAGTTGTACAATCACAGTTTTGCAAACAACAACAGTCAAACAACCACAGTTGCAAAATCGCATAACAGCAGTCACACAGTCAGTCACAATCACAGTCACACAATCACTGTCACACAATCACTGTCACACAATCTCAGTCCCAACCATGGTCAGACAATCACAGTCAGACAATCACAGTCAGAAAATCAATCAGAAAATCAGAGTCACACAATCACAGTCCCAACGACGGTCACACAATCACAGCCACACAATCACGGTCACAACCACAGTCATACAATCACAGTCACACAATCACAGTCACAATGACAGTCACAATCATTGTCACAATCATAGCCATTTAACTAGTCATGCAATCAGTCTTATATTGATAGTCACACAACCACAACCACATACATGTGTAGATGGTATCCATGTGGGTAAGCAATGGATTTTTATGTTGTAGACCTATTTCTTACCTGTCATCGGTTTGGTTGAGCCTGAAAACCTAACACCAGGAGATCTTGTAGTAAGTAATTTGTGTTGATATTTCACTTAAATATATATATTTTGTTCTTGTTTTGATATTTACCATTTATTGTTTGCCTTTTAGGGTGTAAATAAAGACTCCTACTTGATTTTAGAAAAGCTTCCAGCAGAGTATGTTCCTTTTCTTTGGTTTCTTACTTTTCCTGCCTTTTCCATTCACTTCCTTTTCCCTTCCTTTTCCCTTCCTTTTCCCTTCCTTTTCCCTTCCTTTTCCCTTCCTTTCACTTCCGCTTCCCTTCCACTTCCTTTCCTTCTTTCCCTTTCCCTTCCTTTCCCTTCCTTGTGCTTCCTTTCCATTCCATTCCTTTTCTTTTCTGTCCCTTCCATTCTTTTACCAAAATATGTTTTGTGATATTCAGGTATGATTCTCGAGTCAAAGCTATGGAGGTTGACGAGAGACCTACTGAACAGTACAGTGATATTGGTGGACTTGATCAGCAGATTCAAGAGGTAATTAAATTCTAAAATGAAAATTCAAGGAAATCTATAGATGTAAATGTACATTTTTACTTTATAGTTAGTAGAGGCAATTGTTCTACCAATGACACACAAGCAAAGATTTGAAAACCTTGGCATTGCACCCCCCAAAGGTAACACTATAATATGTCTGCTACAGTGTTAGAAATAGCAGGCAATCATCAGACAATGTCCTTCTTAATCTTTAAAAAACAGGATTTCATCTGCCAAAAGTTTGGTTTTTATTTTCATAAACTGCCATTTTGTTTTTATTTCTTTTACATGTATGTAATTTTATGTTTCTTTCTTACTATTTTACCTTTTAGAGTACAAATTAAAGTTCTTTTCAGTTTAAGTTAACAAATATTTAGTAATAATTATTAATATCTTTTAGGTGTATTATTATATGGACCACCAGGAACTGGAAAAACCTTGTTAGCCAGAGCATGTGCTGCACAGACCAAGGTATGCAATGATTGATGGGTGGACAGACAGACACATCTGTACATTGTTGTGTCATAGCGTATCTTTGTCAATATTTTTGCATTAAAATCATGTAGAGATGTTTTCATTACATATGATTCTGCAATGGCATGCCTGTTTTCATACTATAGAAAACATTAAAAAGGAGCCATACATCTTTTACACGCTCATATGGACCGTGATCAAGTGCTCATACTTGTGTTTTTGTACCTGTCCACTTATGGTTGAGCAAGTTAGAGGAAAACATAAAAAAAGAGAAAAAAAAGACAAGGAGTCAAGCAATCATAAGGATATTTATTTTATAATTATTATGATTATTAGTTACAATTGCTAAATTAATGTAAACACTTTTTTTTTAGTCCACGTTCTTAAAGCTTGCAGGACCTCAACTTGTACAGGTTTGTAAAGCCATAAGGATTATTTTGAGATTCATGGCATATTTTGTATCATTATTATTTGCAATGGCAAATCCTTGATAATTATGATTTTGATTATCATCTACATGATTGTATTATTCTTGATGATCTGATTTGTCTAGATGTTTATTGGAGATGGTGCTAAGCTTGTTCGTGATGCCTTTGCTCTTGCAAAAGAGAAAGCACCAGCTATCATATTTATTGATGAATTGGATGCCATAGGAACAAAGGTATTAAAATTTTAAATTATACCCCTCAATATTTTGTACACACATCTCTTGTCTGTATACAGATTTAGCTGCTATATTTTCCATCTTGTTTACCTTGGCTTATGGACTATTAATAATACATGTTACTATGTCTTTTGACAGAGATTTGACAGTGAAAAAGCAGGAGACAGAGAGGTAAGACAATGTTTCTTCTCTCCTCTAAGAATAACAATAATATTTAACAATTATTAGACCTCGAGGTCGAGTGGACTACGAGCTAATAGCCCATGAGGCGGAGTCCGCGAGGCCGAATGGGCTATTAGCTCGTAGTCCACGAGGCCAAGAGGTCTAATTGTTTTAGTATAAACATACTAATCGGTCAAATAATGAAAACAAATTGAAATATCCTTAAAATAATTTACAATTTATTTATTTTGATTTTCCTGCGAGTGGTCTATCACAAATTAGACCATTAGTAGAGTAGCCAATCACAGCGCAGTATGAGTGATAGACCATTAGTATGTTTATACTAATATAATATAGTCTTATAATGAGAAGTACTCAACTATAATGATTATTCAATAATTAGTTAATAATTAGTTAATAATTGGTGTTTAATTGTCATTCTGAATTGTATGATTTTAATAAAAGGTGTAATGACAGGATTTCGGATCACTAAACATCCTGCCTGACTTGATAGGCTTGTGCTGCAACCATTTGATACCAATGCTTACATTTAACAGGAGCAGGCTTTAGATATATCATGAAACTTTTAAGCCAACCATTGACCAACACATTCCAAACATAAAGCAATACTCAATACTAGATGATTTTTCTGAATGTATTTTACTTTTCCTAGGTTCAAAGAACCATGCTTGAGCTTCTTAACCAGCTGGATGGATTCAGCTCGCACCACGATATTAAGGTAATTATTATATTTCTTGTCTTGGTATTGTTGGTGATTTTACTCCTAGTACACAAACTCCAAAGAGGGGTGGTGAGCACCCAGTCCTTAGGGAGATGTTTCCTTAACTTTGAGACTTGTAAGGTTTTTGTAACAATAGGTTGGACAGTATGCAGCACTACTATTAAAGATAATGTGTGTCTAATGAACATAAAATTCACTTGTTTTTTAGGTCATAGCAGCAACAAACAGAGTCGATATTCTTGATCCCGCTTTGTTGAGATCAGGTATGTCCTTCTTTGCCATTGTTTTTAAGGTCTTTCAAACTAGCCTCCAAACTATGCTCCTGTGTCTGAATTGATGGAAGGATTGTCAGTGAAAGAGGCTACAAAGAATCCTAATTTTCAACAGTGTATATAAATGCAATTGCCTTTGTAACTTTGAATGTCTTTTGAGAAAAATAAAGAAAACAACTACTGTAAGTGAAAATAAAATTAATCCTTGAAAGCAAACACTGTAAAGTTCACAACATCTAACAGAAACCTTTTTGAGAAAAAGAAAGCAAATTTTAATCAAAACAAAACAATTACCCTGTGCAGTTGACATATATTTGATACTATACCTTTAAACCATAATGTCCATTGTTAAGTGATTAATTTTGAGTTACCGTATTTCTCAGTAATAAGGACTGCTTTCTGTGATAACAGGGTTTTCATAATGTATGAGTATTCAAAAGTTGATCCTGCAAGAAATATTATGTATAATAATATTTTTTTGTTATTTTTGAAGGTCGATTGGATAGAAAGATAGAATTTCCCAACCCTGACCAAGAAGCAAGAGCTAGAATTTTGCAGATTCACTCTAGAAAAATGAATGTTAGGTATGGAAAAACATATGATTTTCCATTTACAATTTATTGAAATAAAAAAAAAACGATCAGTTAACACAGACTTTATTGTCTTTTTGTTTAGTGCCGATGTCAACTTTGACGAGCTGTCAAGATGCACAGATGATTTCAATGGTGCAATGCTCAAAGCCGTCTGCGTTGAAGCTGTAAGTATTTTTAATATTGAAATGTTGAGTTTTTAATCTTAGAAACAAAGTTTACTATAGTGTAAGAAATCCTGGAATGTCAACACTTAAACCATGAAAAAGTACTAAGAAAATAGTCCAAAAAATCCAAGATTGTAGTTGAGGATGTTGTTTGTTGTCACAGGGTATGATTGCTCTACGACGAGAAGCCACTACAGTATGTCATGAAGACTACATGGATGGCATCATGGAAGTCAATGCCAAGAAGAAGACTAACTTGCTGTACTACGCTTAGATTGACATGCTTTACGCAAATCAATATTGTATTAAAAACCATCTTAAAAACTACTACTGTGAATGTTAATAAACAAAATTTAGTAAACAATGAAAACTTGTTTTAATGTGTATAGCATATGGTGGCATATCTTGAATGGTTCAAGTAAGAAAGAAAAAAATGTATAATAAATTTTCTGGGATGCAAAGTCAAACCTTTGGGATTTCCTTTGAAACTGAGGTGTAGAATAACTTAACACATTTTCATTTTGTTTTTTGTTACGATAGATTTCTTTCATGCTATTTGAACATAACTGCTGAACATAACCTTAATACTAAATTTTGGTGAAAAAAAGTGCAAAATTGTCTAATTTTTTTGAAATTGAGCATTAGTGCAGTGGGAGTGAAAGATATTATATTTCTATCTATTTTCTCTTTCAATTTTTTGCAGCAAACCCTTTTTCACTCTTTGATGTCATTATCGTAATAATACAGTAATTTGTTTGTTTGTTTGTTTGTTTTTTTCAATAATTTCCCATTTTTAGGAAGTGGTAAATTCTTCATTTTAATCAAATTCAGTTATATTTTAGTTCACTTTACATTTTTTATGAATACATTTTTTTTCATGCAAGTATGTCCATGCCCTTGACATCATAATTATTTTAATTTCATTTTTTAAAATCATTTTCCATTTTTTTGGCTTCGATCCCAGTCTTTTATAGCAAATTTTCCCGCCATCAAGTGAAATGGACTGGAATCGAATAGGGATGGTGTTATCACGTGCCTATTTCTAGTCATCTGATTGGTCCATGTCACGAGAAGTAAACGGGAGCCAAAACAAGATGTTTCTTTGTAAGATTCTGTTGGGATGAGGCGAGATTAAGCAAAGTTTTCCCTCTTAAACATTAATTTTTAAGCACGCCACTGTTACTAATAAGCCACGAAAACCTGAAGCGTTAAAGAATAATCAAGGTTGATCAATCTGGATGAATTAGGAGACGTTTGGGTAAGGAAGTTAGCATGTCTTGTAAAATAACAGGCGGGAAGCGTTTTGCCGACATCCGCCGAAGAACCTATCTGCATTGTGGTACTTTATTATTACTTATCTATGAATCTCTGAGTATATTAAACAGCTGATTGGAAAATGTATTATTGTAGTATTTATGTGACGTGCTGTTGTGCTTAAATGTTTGTTTACGATCTCGAAAACTTATTTTTTTTCTGCAGGTTCTAATATCGAAGTGACATGGTTGTCATGTAGGAGCTTCCAAGCTTGATGTTGGAAACAACGAAACATCTAACGTGTTTACCCAAGGTTTGGCGTGGGAAGGCCTTTTTAATTGTATGTTGATCTGTATTCATCTTCAATTACAGAAGCAAACACCAATCTGAGTTGTTGGTTGAACTTTAAGCTGTAGAAACTTCACCAAAAACAGGCTTCTTGTCGGATCGCACATCATGTGTTATTTTGTCCTCGTTGTGTGAGTTCTCCAAACATGATTTTCAATAGCTGCGGTGAAGTGAGTCATAGTTAGACCACAACAAGTATTTTTTTCACACTTTGGAGACAAGAAAAGTTGCAACATTACTGGAATAATTCACTTTGCAAATATAACTGCTCTTCCAAACTGCCTCTGATATCACTTTTTGAAGTGACACTACATCGTTGGATTTTATGAGTATCAAGGAAAATATTGCATCGTCAAGACATTGCAGCATTGAGTCAGGACTGACTCAAGCTATTGCTCCAGTTGGTCTATTATGTGGTATTCCAGAGAAAGACTTAAAATCAACGAAATCTGTAAGTACTCAAATAATGTTGGCCTGGCTCCTTGAGATATTGGTTGAAAATGGTGGAGTAATTAAGGATGTTCTGTTTGTAAATGTTTTAAAGCTATAAAATGACTGGGACCGTTGACCCATCCATTACATTCATTACTGCATAATACATATACAAGCAGACATTTTATCTGTTTAGGAAAAAAAATGGATTGTTCATAGAGGAAAAAAGGGAATGTCTTAAAAAAATTGGAATCTTGGATTATTCTGATAAGGAATTTGGGCTTGGTTGGTAACAGTCAGCAATACTAGTGAAATGTCTGCAACTATTTGACCCTTAAATATGGATATTATAGTACCACACTTATTTGAACTAACGTTTTAAAACAATTTCATTTAAGAACATAGGATTCGTTGATATCTTGATAATAAAATCAATATTCAAGGGGTTTATGTCGTTATCGGCCAGTGGCATATGATATTGTCCATGTAGAGTGTATTTTTTTTTGCTCTCCAGACTTTTTTATAATGTGTCATTCACTTTGCCTGGGGTAAACTTATTCTTCCCCAAGAGACACATAGATTATTAATTATCCTTATCAACATCAAGGAAGTAATTCTAAAAGAGTATATATCATGCTGATGACAAATTAAAATCCAATAGGTTTGTCATTATTTATTTGTACTTGTATAATGGTCCGCATATAAAGTGATTTTATGATGTTTTTAGAATACTATTGTCATTTATTCATTCTCAGACATTATTATCATTTTTATTATTATTATTGTTATTATCATTATTACCATTATTATTATTGTTATCATCAACATCATTTTTATTATTATTATTATTATAATTATTATATCTTTTATTTCAATCTTCATCATTATTATTTTTATTAACTATCATTATTATTATTTACAACTGCATGCATGTATATAAACAAATAAAGTTTCCATTTTAGGTAGTAAACATTTTATTAGTAGTAAAATACGTAGTAGAATATTAATATTTTGATTAAAAGTTAATACATTTTAGTAGGCCAATGTTTTTGCAATTAGGTGATGAAAACTAAGAGGACAGTCTTGTAGTTATGAATGTAGGTCTCAAAGAACTGTCAAAGTTGAAATGACACTTAGTATAATAATGATTGATCAGGAGATGAAATGAAAACCTGAAAATGACAGTCATTTCAATTCATTTTCATACTAAAACATTTTAAATTCATTATTGCATTGTCTTTCTATTCCATGAACAATTGTTTTTTGTGTGCTTTTCAATCAATCTCTCTGAATTGCAAAGAATTTAATACATGTATAATTGATTGATTTATAGATAGCTTAATAGATATAAACATAAAGTTGAAGTAAGTCTATAAAAAGGTTGAACATACAAGAAATGTTCCTGTAATACAATTTTATTTTAATTAAATTGCAGAATATAATCCTTAGTGTCAATTATTTTCTTTAGTTTTCTTACAACTTTGTTTGCCTATGTGATTATGTGGAAGAAATCCACTTCAAGTTTACATATTTGCAAGGATTAGCAAATTGACAAGTGATTGATTCTATGATAAATCCCTTCACTTTCCACCTTTGGTCAAAGTTAAAATATTTTTACACATTTTAGAACTATTTGAAGAAGCTCAGTCTTGTGCTTCTCTTTTAAAGCCATTAAAGGGCTTGGAATTGAAAACCTTTTTTCGAGGGTACTTGAATTTAAGTGATTGTTGCACTGAATAAAATTTACTAACTGATAAATAATTTAATAATTTGCAGTCTGGGTGTTGAGTGCATAAAATTTACTAATGATTAATAATAGTTAATGATTAATCGTTGCTCAAGATAACTGTCTTTCGAGGTTGTTAATCAGAGATTTCATTAGAAGCCAGCAACCAGTAAAATCCAGCATCTATTTTGACCTTTGGCCGCCTACTTTTGCAAAATGTTGTAATGTGTGTGGCCCCTTATGATTGAAAAATGGTTACTTTTTCAGAACAGCCAACAACCTCTAAAATTCAATGAAACCTCTGATCAATCAACAATACAATTCAATACCTAAAAATCCTTCTATGCATTCACTGTTTGACAATTCTCTGTGATAACATACATAGAATGTCTAAAAATTTTCTTTTTTGAATGGAAGACAGTCTTCCATTCAAAAAAGAAAATTTTGTTTTCTAATTATTCTTCGGGATTTTTTACTTTTTATTATAATAAGCATAAAAAGGTGCATTTCTATTTTTAACAAAGTCAGTATAATATAGTCATTCAAATGAAGAAAGAAGCTTTACAAGTGTCATCTTTAATCCTCTTAAAAACAGAGCTCTTTCATCACCCACTAAGTTACAATTAACAAATACATATTCATTGAATTGTTCCTATATAGAACACTTTTGAAATTTCATCGATTTAGCAGGCATAAAAAATTGTAGTCAATGCTCAGAGAAAACAGTAAATAACAATTTCATCTCCACTGGAACTCTTCTTCAGCTCTTTATTTTTCATGAAAGTCCAGTTATTATGTTGAATGTGTGCTATTAAAGTTGTACTCTTTCAAATAATAACTCATTAATAGCATAAACTTGCTAAATGTTGATGTAGAATTATAAAATATCCAAAATTTCTGCTTTCTAGTTATGTAACTTCCAATAATTGTCAATGATTTTGATCAAGTTGTTAATTCTCCCTTTGAGTCAATAGTTTGGTAGGAGAATTCACTACTTGATCAGTATTGCTTGATGTATGTTTATATTCTCATTTGAATTCAAAAGACTTTTAGGAGAACATAGTGTCTGATCAGAAGGTTTTAGGTTTTGCAAAGGCCTGTTTTGACATTAATGAATCATCAAGAAATGTTAGCTTGCACAATACAACAATCAAGAAACAAATTCACAGCTCTCTAGTTTTGGTTTAGCAGGAATATCTCTTTGGTTGGATGTCATATCTTCTTTGCTTAGGTGTTGTACGTAAAATGATAAATCTGTTAAAATTATCTTTATCTTCACATCTTTATCCCTATATTATATAATATAATACAGTGACTTGCAAAAGTTATGTTCACTTACGTAAATCACTATATATCAGATACACCATTGATATTTTCATTTGATTTTTGCTATTTTCTTGCAAAAATAGACTGTAAATTGACAATCAAACTCATTGGAGTTTATTCAAACATAGCATGCAGTTCGGTGAAAAATTAATGGAGTAATATAGCTGCCCTATATGGTGGTATATTTATGTTGGCTGTCAGAATTTTTTCAAATAACTATATGTAGAAAGAATTACATGTGAATATATAGAGATAAATCGGAAGTCCTTCATGGTTTTGCAAGATCTTATCTTATTGTTTTTACTATCTATTTGTTGAATAAAAGAAAACAATAGAATTTAAGAACGAGAGAACAATGAGCATTGTTTTATTGCTCCAATCACAAGAAACCTTACAAACTCGTGAAAAATAACAGATAAATGTATGTTATGTTATTTATAGTGGGAAATCTTTGCTTCTATTTCACTCTTATCTATTTTCTTGAATGGAAAAACATAAATTGACAATGAATTAAATATCAATTTTTAATAATGTTTTGTGTTTTATAGGGCTCAGATCATCTGGCAGTTCCCTCATCAAAGATGGCCAAGATGAAGAAAAAGATGCATTCTCCATTGTCAAGAAGAAAAAGTTCTAGCTCAGGTGAGTTGTGTTGGGTTCCTTGTTGATTTTCATACACAGGGATCGCATTAATGCTTAAGAGCTCCCTTGAGTGATTTCCTATTTCCAGTCATTGTTTGAAGATGTTTGCTCATTCATTTATTCATTTGTTCTTTCATCCATTCATTCATTTGTTTTCAATTTTTTATTCGATGTTATTCAAATATATTTGCTCATTGATTCATTTGTTCATCCATCTATTTGTTCATCCAGTCATTTATTCATCCATTCATTTGTTCATTCGTTTTTTCATCCATTCATTTTTTCATCCATTTGTTTATTTATTCATTTCCTTTCCCATTTCCAGAGCCCTCAGAGTTATCCAGTAATACTGGCAAAGTGTTTGGAGTTTCATTAGATGAATCTATCAAGCACAATGAAGGCCCTCCTGTCCCATGGGTTGTTGTAAGAATAGTGGAGTACTTATCATCTCATGGTAAGAAAGACTAACAAAAATAATCAAAAATCATATATAAATGATTTATGACTGTTTAAAGTCAGAGATGGCTTGCAGATGTTATGTCTGGCAAAGCTCAATTTTAATTGGTCAAAGCGTTTTAGCTGTAAGATTAGGTCACATTACACAATCAATCTTTGGCTGGATATTATCTGTTTAACAACTCTTTTTTTTGCTCTGGATTTATGGTTGTCAAAGCTGTCAGAATTTCTCAAAGTTCAATAATCATTTCTATAATAAAACTCTGTTAATTTGTGTAGCAAAATATATTGTATTTAAAAATGAAATACATTGTAGAAACTATTGACAATAGATTTTGATTTATTATTTAGATTTTAAAAGACAATTTTCTAAATTATTTGTTTAAGCTATATATCATATTTGAATATTTCTTTAACATATTTTTTAAACCATTTTGTTCTATTATTAATGACTACTGTCTGAATCCACCAGGACTTAAAAGCGAAGGCATATTTCGCGTCAGTGGAAACAAAAAGAACGTCGACCTGATGAAAGCAGCATTTGATAGAGGTAAAGGCAGACATTATACACCAAAAATAATGGTCCAAGACAGAAACATACCCCGTCAAACTTAACAACAGCTAAGACAGATTTTAAAACTAAAAAGAAAGCAAGTATTACCCTCAGACAGCTTACAAAATCACAGAACCTCACCTACACTGTACTGGTAGAAATTCTTTGGCAAGCGTTGATAATGTTAAGAAAATATTACAGCACAGAACAGGACAGTCACACAAAAAAGTGCCAAAGCTTTTGTACACTCCCCCAAAAACATTTCTTATGATATTTGCTACAATATTTACAAGCACATTTGTCTTTTTCATAGCATTAATCAAAACCTTATGAAAGAGGAACTTTTTCAACTGGATATTGTACTGTAATGTTTCTTCTTAATTCAATACATTTTGGAATGTGATTTTTTTTTTCTCTCTCAAAGAATTCAGTATTCAAACTTCAATATGCAAGAATGATTGTGTTTAGGCATGTAAATATTGAAACATCTGGAAATAAGGCCTTCTTTCTAAGAATTCAAGAATCCCAAATACACATTTCTCTTTAGTCAAACTGCTCAACATTACAGGGACTAAAATCTGCTCTTTATAAGAAACTAACTATTATCTGTATAAAATGTCACCAAGTTCAATACCTGTGGGAAATACTAGATATTTTTTCAACCAACAAAATAAAAAATTTTCACAGTGAAACAACCATGATTGATGAACAAGAATGATGCTGCTCTATAATAAATGTGTTGTTCTTGTAGATGGAGATGCTGATTTGGAAGAGATTGGTGATGTTATGGCTGTAGCTGGTCTACTGAAGCAATATCTGGTATGACACTCTAGTTAAGTTTATTAGCTTTTTCATTTTGGGGCTGGCAGCTGCAACAGCATTAGCCAATTATTGTGAAGCCAAATTTAATACAAACTTTTACAGGTTTTGCTTAAACAGTCAAGTCAGGGCTTTGACTTCGTGTACCGGAGCACTATGTAATTCAATAGAAACAAAGGGTTCCAACTATGGAACAGAATTTAAGCAATACCCCGAAATACAATGATACATAACCAGAATACACTAGATTTCGGTACATGAAGAAAGGGCCTAAGTCAGGGAAAAATTTTGATTATAGCTGGACTCTGGTGTCAAGATATATAGCCAGAGAAAAGCTTTTCAAATAATATTGTATATTAAACATCCATACAACATGTTGTCCAGGGCAAAGAGGAAAAGGTGCTCATCAGACAATACATGTATTTGATTGGTGGAAATAGTATTTGAGTTTAGGGACACTTTTTCTAAGCTTCAAGCTGCTGTCACTGGTCAAACTTGCACTTGTTGTTGGGCATCCAGTTGGTCTTCTCATTTTCTGATTATTTTTTGTCTTGTTAGCTTGTATTTTGAAGATATTAATCATGAATACTATTTTGTTTATAGAGAGATCTTCCAAGACCTCCAATCCCACAAAGTTTGACACAAGATTTTATTAAAATACACACCAGTAAGTGAAAAAAAAAGTGAAATACTTTGTCCATCTGTTGTAAATGATTATACATAACAGATATTCTAAGGCAGTGAGACCAAATTCTGTTATTTCAAATAGCTATTATGAGCAGTTTTTGGCTCGGAATATGATCTTTTCTATGAGGTCTATCAATTGGACCTTGTTTGTTGCAATAATAATTATAATGAAGTCTGTTCTATACGCTATGGTAAAAAAATCTTAAAAATAATACATTTACTTGACATACAGACAAAATTAACAATAATAATTATGATTCATGATTTTTAATATCTTATTTTATATGAGCATATGTCTTCCAAAAGACTTTATCTCATTCAACAATTTTGTGAAAAAATTGAATGATCAAAATTTATTATTATTTATTTGATATAGATTATGGAGATGATAACAAGGCTTCCTTAGATGAATTAAAAAGATTACTGGCTAAGCTGCCCGAGCTGAATTATCATCTTCTCAAATACCTCTGCAATTTTCTTGTCCGAGTCTCTGAATATGAAGGTAAGTGCTAGTTATAAACAAAAAAACATTGATGCAAACACCATGTTTTCATTGCTATAAACAGCTTGACATATTGTTAATCAGTTAAGTTTAGAGTGATGGGCACTTTATTGCAATTTCGCATTTTTCACTTTCCCATTTTTATTCAGAGTTGTTGCTTTATTTCTGTTTTTTTTTTTTAATTTCCTTTGTTATGGATTCTTATTATTTTGATATATAATTCCCAATCCATGTTATTTCCATTCCATTTTAATTATTTTTTCTTATTTTATTTTCCATTTCTCATCCTTTTCCTCATTTCTCATTTCCTATTTTTTATTCTCATTTTGTTGTGATTGTATTGCAGAAAATAATAAAATGAGTTCTATGGCTCTTGCAATTGTATTTGGACCCAACTTATTCAGGTATTGATTGTTCTCAACCATTTCCATGAGATTCAAAAGATAAAAGACAGGCAGCCATGTTGGAGGAATGAACAATAGATACTAATGAGAAATCCTTTGTTAATGTTCCTCCAAGATGGACGCTGTGACGCGTAGTGAATACAAAGAATAACCTGTGCTGAATGCCTCATAATAATGACTGCATTTGACTTCATCATTGTCAATGAGTTTAGTTCTTTTTGTGGAAACAATGAGACTAGTTACAATACAAGCAAAGTAATGCGTAGACATAAAACTGATACTCCATTTATTACATCTTGTTACGTTACAATACTAAGTACATCGAAAGGTTAATAGACGTTTATAAGGTGGTTATTGATCGATAAGGAATTGGTTCACAATGTGAATAAACAAAGGCTAATGGGGTAAGACTATGACAATGTGTAATAAGGAGAAAAAAACGTGAGAAAAAGTTACATTATGTCACTTCTGCGGCTACAAACTCTCACGATTACACAAATTACATGTCTCAAATCGAACCAAATGTGGCTGGGTGCTGTCCTAGACTCTAACAGACACTATTGGCCGTTACATGATGACATATTATTGTCTTGGCAGATGTAAAGATGGATTAGAAGGTCTCAAAGAACAAGGACACACCAATGCAATTGTCTGTAAATTTTTACAAGAATATGAAGAGTTATTTCCTGTAAGTCATGTCAGTATTATGAAATGTTAACATGTATATTGTATATTGTTTTTAGGGGATTCCATATTTGTAAGTGTAGCATAGCAGTGTCTTTTTAAGTGATTACAGTGAAAATTGTTGGATTGTGACTTCTTTGTTTCGAAGATTGTTCTGATTTTGTTTTTTTGCTTCGATCTAAGTGGTGGAGCTTTTTGTAAACCTGTTCAGTCATTGGCTTACATGTATTTGCAGCAACCTTTGCCCCAATGTCACAAAAAAACTAAATCCTAGTGATTGCTTGTGAACATTGAAGTCGCAATGTAACAGTTTCTGCTGTAAAGGTTGTCAAGAGAACAGTCACAGTTGCAAAAACATATCAAATGTATAATATACATGTATACAATCTATTTGGATGATTTGATGCAGTAACTGTCATTAATTGTTTTATAAAATGGACTTAGTGTAGTTGTAATTGTGTTGCAGGATGAAGATGAAGTTTCCCCCTACGCAACCACTGACTTATTTATTCAAACTTCCAGGTGAATATATAAAATAATATGTAATACTTACTATTCACCTATGACAAATCCAGTCTTCTGATTGGCTACTAAACTATAGTCTATTCATGGTAGACCATTGTCGAATGAAGCGAAAGTAGTTGAAACTCATGTTGAGAGAAATTGTTTTTTTTTTTTGTTTTTTTTTTTTTTTGGAGAGGAAACTGACTATTAGATACTTTTTTATTCTGTCACTAATGAAAATTTCTTTATATTTTTAATTAATACTTGTTATTATTACTTCACAGCTCATCTGAAGGCATGGATCCTAGTGGACATCCAAAGGTAACAAATTAAAGAAAATGATTTTTATCTTTTTGTTGCCCATTCGGCTTAATATTATTTTTTACTGTGCAGTTCAAGCCGATGAAGTGATTATTTGTGGATTGATTTGTGTTTCAGGCACAAGAAAGCTCTGCTAGTGATGAAGAACTGGCTTCTTCTAACAAAACAACTGTAGAAATATCAATAGGAAAACTAGAACCTGTGTATGCTAGTATAAGCAAAAGCAAAAAACATCTGAGCCCAAGGTATGGTTAATTAATTTTACATTTGTTTGAATAAACCCATGAAAATGTCAGCTGTTTGTGAATAATAGTATTCTTCGCGGTTCACTGCGCCATCTTGAAAGGTAGTCGTGCCTTTACATTGAAGCAAGACGACCGTTGAGCGTGCAATGATAGATACCTGTGAATAATTGTCTTTAAGTGGAAAAATTGAAATTTTGTTAATATAATATTATGAATTATATTTCAGTGTTGGGTCATCTTCAGAAGATTTAGACTTATATGTGAGGTCTGTATCACCATCTTTATGGAACACTAATGGGAATAATGGTAATAGCAGGTATGGATGACAATATAAAACACTAATACCTCATTGTACATGAAAAACATGCTGCTAAAATGACACCAGGAACCAGTGGCAGATTCAGGGGGGGTGTGGGGTGGGTTCATTGGGTGCACAGGGCACCCACCTTAGTATCAACTGGTAACTTAAGTGGTGGATTCAGGATCTTTTTTTTAATGTATAAAATCATGCCCTCATGTTGCACCCTCCTGAAAAAAATTCTGGATCTGTCGCTGAAAACTTATTCAATGCTCAGTGATGGCTGATGATGTGAATGTTTTTAATTACATGTTAAAGTGCCTCAATGACACAATGCTAAAAAACATTATTTATAATTTGTGTTTGTGGTATATGGACATTTTTGTGCCTAAAAAGTGCTCTAGTGATGAGCCAATGTACATTTGTACCGAAAAATGTTTGAATCCACGAAAACAGCACAGAAGCTTTTAGACTGATTCCATAAGCTGTAGTATTTGCTCTTCGATTTTTTGGTCAAACTATCGACAGAGAGGAAATTGGTACCGACTTATGGAATCAGTCTAGGAAGCTTTCTACTTTGTAAGGAAAAAGTCTTTACTCTGTTAGTTCTGGAAGAATCATTCCGCCAGAAATATTCCAGTGTGTTTTGTGGTAAACTTAAAAGGTTCTCGTGTACTAGTTTAACCAGTTTTAAAATAATTGTTTTAGTGCTGAATGGTTAAGAAATTGTTGGGTAATGTTATGACCGTTTAAGTTAATTGTAATTTTTTCTTAATTGTAGTCACAGTACGTTACAACAACAGCAACATGGAACTCAAGGCAGAGAGTGCGTTGATTTGATTTGTTTGAGTTTTTTATGTTTTATTAATACTAAACTAACCAATATTGATCTGTAATTGAACGTAATGATGACTTTAATAATCTGATGGAACATTTGACCAATAAATCATGGAATGTTTGATCAATATATCATAGAATGTTTGATCATAATCTCACAGAATGTTTTTTGAATAACTCATTAGAATGTTTGATCAATAGATCATGGAATGTTTGATCATGATCTCACAAAATGGTTTTTGAATAACTCATTAGAATGTTTGATCAATAGATCATGGAATGTTTGATCAATATCATAGAATATTTGTTGAATAGCTCATAGAATGTTTGATCACTATGTTTGTTTGATATGGTATTTAACTCCTGTTGTGTTTTGTTAACAGTATGGTACAGAAGGTGATTAAAGATAGTATCAAAGAACATCTGTTTGGACCTGATGTAGTTTCTACAGATGACAATGAGTACAGTCCTAATGAGTCTGCACAGTCTAATGAATCATTGGAAGAAAGTATGTAAAATGTCTTTAAAATGCATTTTTTGAATGACTTCATTCCCTTCTTCTTTCATATATTCCATGTCCTTCTTCCACCTTCTATTTCCTCCCTCCTTTCTCTTCATTCCATCCCTTTTGCCTCCTCTCTTCCTCAATTCTCTCCTCTTCCCCTCCTTCTTTCCATCAGTCCCTAATCTCTTTATTCCTTCTCTGCCCTCTTGTTCCCCTTCTTACTTCACCTCCTTCTTTCCACCTCCCTTCCCTTTCCCCCCCTCTCCCTCCTCTCTCTCTTGCTTCCTGTTTTCCTCTCTCCTTTTCTTCATCCCTCCTTTCCCTCACTCGATTCTTCCCTCCTTTCTCATCTCCTCCCTTTCTGCCTAAATTCCTTTTCTTCCATTCTTTCCTGTCTGTTTCCCTTTTCCCTCACCACTCCTTTCATTCCTACTAACCTTTCACTCTGTTTCCCACCTTACTGTTAACTTACTACCAATATTTGTCTTTTTGACTTGAATGTAGTTGTTCCACCTCTACCAGCAAGGAATTATGGTCCAGAGGACACCAACAGACCCCAGGCAAAGAAACGAAAAAATGCTAAAAAACACTCCAATGAAAATAGCCCATCTACTTCAATTAGCAATAGTGAACTTACTATAGATGTACCTGCAGTTGATAACAGTAAAGATCTGGTGATAACTTTGGTGAGTAAAGATTTTCTCTTGTCAGGACAGCATGTTGTCAATCATGACTTTCTATTTTTAAGGAGGCCATCTTGTCTTCCTTTGTGTATGTGATTTAGAAGGGAATGATACAGTTGCTTTTTTTAAAACAAAACAAAAACGAATGGCATGGTTGCATTTCAATATTGTGCAGGGAGCTATTCCAGTTTGAATGGAGGCTTTCTTAGCTAATCTGAACATTATATGTGATCGCATTCTGTTGTTAAATTGTGCAAATTGTGACTAATGTGGCAGCTTCTTTCTTGTGTTTTGCTTTGATTCCCATGTTGTGGACCATTCTTATCAAATTCATTAATAATTCACAAGGTTAACACAATGGAAAATCATTGCCGTGACCACATCTTTATATGAGTAAGAGATTTGTCCTGATTTGCGTACGACTTTAACTTCAATTTTCTCTTACAAATGATATTTTATCCTGTAGTTTTTTGCAAAATATGCTTTACCTTATGTTGGAATTTGATGCAATATAAAATATTCGCATCCAACCTTTATGGACTATAAAACTGCAAGCTGCAGCTCACAGTTTTAAATGCCCATAAAGGTCTCACGCTCATATTTTATATATTACATATTAGTCCATTACTAAATAAAACCCTTTGATCTTCAGTCAAACTATGCTCTTATTGATTATAGGATCAGAATAGTAACAGCATTATACAAGTCAAAGATGAGGTAATCTTATCACTAAATATTCTCAACTTTTATCTTGTTAGAGTACAAACATTAAATGTGTGCAACACTTTCCACTATTTACTACAAAATAGTGTTAATAAACAATAGAAAGCAATAGAATTAGCATAATTTAGCAGTATTTAGTGGTATTTATGTTGCACAGTTTTAGTGTTTGTACTCTATAACAAGGAATAACTTGTCAAATGAGTAATGATATAGCAAATGCAGCCAGATAGCCAGATACTGCTGTTAGATGAATATAAAAATTCATCAAAATGTTTTCCTTTTTACTCTAGGATGATGCTGAAGAAGATGAAACTGATTTGGGAATTGTCAAAAGAAATTCAGGAATTCTAACAACTGTAAGATATCTGTTAATAAAATGGATTACCTTCTAACTTGGCATATTTTAAACAATTTTTAATGACTTTAAACATTGTTTTTTTGTTTTTCAGCTTACTAAAAACAGAGCTCCTCCGCCATCCAAAAGAAGGTCACCAACACCAAACAAGCGAAACTCACAGTCTGATCTTGATAATGAAGAGGTATTAAAAAGTGCTCTGCATAATTTGGAATTATTTCATTGTTTCATTATTTCGTTATTTCATTATTTCGTTATTTCATTGATTTGTTATTTCATTGTTTCATTTCATTGTTTCATTATTTTTTTTCTTGTTCATTATTTCATTGTTTCCTTGTTCATTATTTCCTTGTTTCATTATTTCATTGTTTCATTGTTTTGTTATTTCATTGTTTTATTGTAAATTGAAATACTTAATCCATCAATCTCTACTTTAACAGGCTGATGAATGTGGTGAATTACCAGAAAGGTTTGTCCACCCACTAGTAGTGGAGGCAAAAAGCCGTGGTAAAGTTTCAACTCCACCACCTCGTTCACCAAGGTCATCACCAAGAGTTCCTTCCAAGTCCCCTCCTTCCCCACTCTCACCAAATAAGGTAGTTTATTCAACAAATTATATTAATTTGTCTCACCAAATAAGGTAGTTTATTCAACAAATTATATTAATTTGTCTCACCAAATAAGGTAGTTTATTCAGCAAATAAGGTAGTTTATTCAACAAATTATATTAATTTGTCTCACCAAATAAGGTAGTTTATTCAGCAAATTACAAAGTCTTACCAAACGAGGTAGTTTTGCCAACCCACTTTTGATTTCTTGGTTAACCTCACAAACGAGGCAGTCTTGTAAAGCATCCAATAGGCCTTTTGTATGAAACCGTCACATGGTACAAAATCTGCCAAACTGGATGACAAAAGAATGTAAACAACCTCAAAAACAAAAGGAACGCAGCCCATCATAAACTTCACTTTTCTATCTTTTGAAAATCCCAATGGGTATTTTGCCATCCAGTATGGCGGATTTAGTACCATGTGACCGTTTCATGCAAAAAGCCTATTTTGATATCTTTGTTGACTGTCCTTAAACAAAAGAATTCAAAACAAGGCTCTGGGCAAACAGAGAAATCTCATTGTCAGTGACTTTGCTAGAAAATCAAAAGTAGAATTTTAATGTTGTCTACCCAATGAAGGCAGCAGCACTAATGAAAGTATCACATATCACATTTTAACACTACGTCCACTATAACCACACCCTAAAGTTAACACTGTCAATCACTGACATGATGCATTCGTAATGTACTCCACAGCATGCAACAGTGGATGAGGTCGATGGTGGTTATAACCCTGTTAAAGAGTTAATGACCAGAACATATAAAAAGGTTGGAAGTTAGATTATCTGTTCTAGAATGTTTGGTCACTTTGTTTCACTGAGACTTAATTGGTCTACTAGAAAATTGAATTGAATTTAGTAGTTTTGATCAAATGTTCTGGAAGATGTGATCCACGATATAAGGAGGTTGGAAGTAAGGTCATCTGTTCTAGAATGTTTGATCACTTTATTCTACTGGGACTCGATTTTTTTACTTTTAGATTGAATTGAATGTAAATAGTGTTAATTATGTCAAGTGTTCCAGAAAATGTGATCTACCAGACCATTATAAAAATTGGAAGTTAGATCATCTGTTCTAGAATATTTGATCACTTTGTTCTGAGGAGACTTGATTGCTCTTCTAGTAGATTGAATTGAATATAAGGCAGTAGTTTTGATCAACTGCTCTGGAAGATTTGATCAACCAGCTGATGTATATCCTGCAATATTTGTTAATTTGTTCCAAATGTTTGTGTTTTTGCACAACCAGTTATTCCGGAACACATGATCATTGTGTATATTATTCCGGAACACATGATCATTGTGTATATTATTCCGGAACACATGATCATTGTGTATATTATTCCGGAACACATGATCATTGTGTATATTATTCCGGAACACATGATCATTGTGTATATTATTC